CTTTAATGTATAAATTTTATACCTCAATAAATTTTCTATCGCTCATACAGTTTTCGTCACTTATACCAGACGTAAGCAGTCTATAAAATATTAGTTAAATCGTTTCTTTGCTTCTTTTTAAATAATCAGAGTTCATAAAAACTTGCAAGAATGGATACTTATTCAACATATATTTTAGAAAGAGTTGACCATTTAATCAGAGGGTCACACAACTAACCTTTTATATCAAACCTATATACTGCGGCTGTGGCATGCAGATCATGTAGTCAAACTTTTGGTGGTCACCCTGGCGCACTCTCTTAGCCAAGCCATTTTTGGAGCCGATACCTTATTAGTAGACCCATAGCTAAACTGATGATTGGCTCAGCTTAGCTGTTTGGCTTGTGGCTCAGCTCTAGCCATTCACATCACCAGTAGTATGATAACATATTATGTATTTTTTTTGTCACAGATCATAATGAAAATGATAAAACGCATTTACTAATTCACCCAAGTTTCTATTAGTCGACATTTTTGATTGGATAAAATTAACGATCCTCAATAACGTGATGCTATGCTGATACTGTATTACAGTATTCGTAATACTGTATTACTATATTGCTGTTTTTGATTGACAAATCGAACTTTAACTGCCAAGTTTTTTTTTGTGCTACTTTGAACCTGCGTCTTAGTAATAATACTTTTGACATTATAGCTAGATCGAAATAACCTAGCTGCAACTTTTTATATACTTATTATCATTTATTTATTTAGCATTAATTTATTATAAAAAAAAAAAGAAAAAACTTGAAGATTTGTTTGCTTTTTATATTCATTTGATTGAGGATTACTTAGAATAGGTTTATGCTAAAGAAAATGAATTGGTCAAAACACAAGAGGTCTCAATACAAGCTTTAGCTAAAGATAATATTGTAAAGTTCACAAATCCTTATAAAGTAACTGGCAAAGAAGATTTAAAGAAACAAGCTATTTTAGTGAAAGTATTTTACAAAAAACAAGCAACATAAATATACTTGTTGATTTTGTAAAAAACCTAGTCATAATATTGCAACTTGTCTATATAAAATATAAAACATTTGTATGTTTATATTATACTTGCACATTTGTATATTTGTATATATATATGATTTTTTGTATATACAGTACTATATATTTGCATGTTGTATATATGTATATTTGCTTTGCTTATATTTTATATATATATGTACTATATATAGGTATGTTTTTTCTAAAATGTACATTATGCTTATAATACAGTATTTTAATGTAAATAATATATTGTAGCATAGATAACTAGCCTTGTTATTTATACTACTTGATTTAACGTGTAGAGAGTAAGGAATATAATAAAAAAAGGACAGAGAAAAAGAAAGAAAAGAAAACTAAGAGCAAGAAATATAAAATATATAGTATAAAAATATAGAAAGCAAGAAAAAAAACTAACAAAGAATAATAAAACTAAAATAGAAAGTAGTAAGAAAGAGCAATAAAAGAGACAATAAAATCAAGCTAAAAAGTAATAAAAAGAAGCAACAAAGGATAACAAAAAAGCAATAAAAGAGAGTATATAATATAACAAGTATATAGTTAAAAGAATAATATTTATTTATTAGACTAAAGGATAGCTTGAGATATAAACCTGGTGATGGCAGCACAACAGGTACTAGTTAGACAAGAAGTTATTGAACATGCAGATAAAAACATGTATGAGACATGAACTACTCTGTTAGGTTTACCTCGTAGATAAAAATTAGCCAAAAATGGTTATAAAGTTCTAAAGTGGGTGCAAAATCTATAGGTGTCACAAATCTATATATGAATAGTAAGTTATATTTTGGTTAGGTTAGGAATAGATGGTGGTTGTAACCATTGAGTATTCTTGTAATTGGGATGCAGGTATGGTAGCTAGTGTAGAATCTAAGACAGACTACTTAAATAGACAATCAAAAGTTACATATATGGCTAGTTATACTCTTGTTAGTAATAACTAGAGAGTTTAAATAGATAATCTTCTAGTTAGATTGCAAGTATAGTAGCTAGTGTGGAACCCAGGTGGACCACTTAAATTAGGTACCAAAAGTACACATGTGGCTTGATATATCCTCATTGTAATTGTAATCTAAAGTTAATAATCCAATAAAAAGTTCTAAGCCATAGAGATCATCTTAATACCAAAAAAAAATATATATTTATTTATTAGAGAATAGTTAAAAGAATATAAGTTAAAACTTAGCAGAACTTATTCTGCCTTGGGAAAAAAGACAAGATTTTTATATCTTTTAGAACTCTATGTAAGAACAAATAATATTTTGTAGGTGTGGCGACTTAGTAAAGTGGTGGAGTTGTCGCACCCCCAAATGGCAGGTCTAGAGTTCGAATCCCACAAACGATGATTTTGAAAAAACTAAATCTGTATCAGTTAATGTTAAGATTATTAGTTGGATCCAGATATCTGTAATCTTGGTCACACCATCTTAAATAGGAGCTTTGGCGCAATAAATCCAGGAAACTGGAATTACCAAAAACCCATTTGGCAAGTCCCAAGTTGGGAGTAGCAGTATTCTTCAACAGTACTACAGGAATACTGAATTTGAAACCAGAAACTGAGACCGGAAAATCAAGTGACCAGATCCTTAAGTGAGGGGACACACCAGCTGAACTGCCGGCTCACCACCAGAGAAAAAGAACTTGTACTCCAGAAGCATGTACCAAGGGAAGGGAGACCATAAGACACCTAGAGCCTGGGCAGACCAACCCTTCCAGATTGCCGGCTAGAAGTAAGGGAGAGACCGGTAAAGAATTCGGGAATGAAAGAAGTTGAAACATGGGTACTGGGGTTGTTGTGAACCTTGCAAGAGCAGAAGTATATAAGTAGGAACTAATTAGGAAGGTTGTGGCTTGAGATATGAATCAGGTTACGGCAGTATCTGAAACAATAGCTTGAGATATGGACCTGATAGCAGCAGCACAACATATACTAGTTGGGGAAAGTTACTAAACATGCAGGTGAGTACATGTGTAAGACATGTACTATTCTGTTAGGTTTATTACAAGAATAAATGCCCATGTGGCTAAAGTCTTAGAGTCCTTACATAGCATTGTTAATCTCATTAAGAGTGTTAGGGTTATAGATGCCACCGAAATTGATTTTCAAAAAAGGCCTATTTCATCTCTATTAGAGCAAATTAAAATTTTTTATAAGAAAGAGCAAATAAAATTTATATATTTA